TTTTTAATTCCATTGATTAATAAATGTTCTTTATACTCACAGACTAAATTAATGCGAATGAAATGAATTTAAACGTATTGGTAAATACTTATTTAAGTTCTTTATGTGTGAACTTGTTTACGGTTTTTTTCTAAAATTAATAAACGTTTTTTGTACTCACGGGCTGGATTGGCACAAATAATAAACATTTATGAGCTTAAATGTCAGATACGCAGATTAACAAATATTTTTAATGCTTACTCCCTAATAGTTAAAATTTAATGAGGTTATTCCCAATTTCAGTTTAATAAAATAAAACATTTATAATAAAAAATATCAAAAATTAATATACTTTTCAATCCATTTTTCATATTCATCATAATTTTCTTCCACGCCAATTCCATATCTGTAACAAACAGCAGTTTTAAAAATCCCCATCGAATTACCTTCCTCAGCTGACTTGAGATAATGCATAAATGCTTTGTTTTTATCGATTTCAACACCAATTCCTAAATAATAACAATAGCCAACTTGATACATTCCGTTAGAATTATTCATGTCTCCTGATTTTTGATAATGAATAAATGCCTTGTTTTCGTCCTTTTCAACACCAATTCCATAATCATAACAATATCCAAGCCGGTACATTCCATCTGAATCGTTCATGTCTGCCAATTTTTGACAATCAATAAAATTCAATTTATTAAAATCATCATCAATTTGATTAACATCTTTTTCTAATCGCTCTTCTGCTAAGTTTTCTCTTTCCATTTAGGTTTATAAAAAAAAAAACAGAGAATAATGTATCATACCGATGCTGTATATTTATTATACTTACAATGGTTATACAATATAATTAATTAGTGAATAATATATACTAAATTATATCGATGCGGTATTACATTACGGCGCATTTGCGAAATACCCCAAAATTACGTAAATATAGGTTTTAAATGAGATAATCAACATTCCCAAGTTATGATGCGTCATTTAATGAATCCTCTTGTCTAATGGGTTGCGTCGGGGAGTGGGAAAATGGGTTAGCATGTAGGAAAGATGGAGTTGACGCATTATTAATACAGATCAGGGGTTTAACATTGAGTGAATTAATATATAATTAGGTTAAAATTTAATTTCGCAAATGCGCCGTAATTAGTAGCGATTCAGAAGAACTAATTCTACATGTGCAGAAATAATTGTAAAACCGTCTACAATGCAGTAGCTAAAACCTTAAAGTTCTTAATCGTGATTGGTTATTATAAATTTTTTTTAACCTTCTAGCGAAGGTTTCTCAATAACTACTTGATCAAATTTAGAGAATTTTTTTATTTTATAAATTAATCGGAGGTTGTAGTATAAAAATAAAAGTAGAAATATTAGATCATTAATATTTGCAATTTGGGCTAGTTGGTAATTAATTTAAAATTTTGAGTGAAGTAGAAGGATATCTTGTGTATTATAAGGGTACCAAATTTTTGTTAGCCAATTTTTGATTCTTGCTATTTCTATTTGTTTAAGTATAGTATTAGAGCTAAAAATACATTCAATATTAGATGCTGCTACTTTACGAATAATGTTATTAAAAGTTAAAAGTTTAAATATGAAAGAATTTGTGAGAAAAATATTGAATGTATATTTTGCAAGATAAAGCATTTTCTTAGTTTGAATAGTAAGTAAATGAAAGAGCTTCATTTGCTAAAATTTACAAATAGGTAGAACCTGAAGTAAATATTCAATTAAAGGTTGAAGAACAATATTAAAGAGTGTAAAGATTTGATAGAAGTAAGTTTTTTGTATTTACAGTCATACCTCTTTATAATCATTCTCCATATAATTATATTATATAAAAACTTTTATAATCACACCTATATTTAAGCCCAATTACTAATAAAAGACCTCTATATAAATATATCTTTTTACAAGAATATTTTTTTAAAAAAATTCCTATAGTCCCAAAAATATGATTACTGTATTTCCCAAAAATAAGCTACCACTGAAAATAAGCTACCCCCTTCTTTTATACAAAAACTCTAAAATCTCTTTTATCTCAAAATAAGCTACCTTCCAATTTTTTTAAATTTTTTAACAGTTGCTATATATAAAAGTCAAAATTGTACTAAGTAAATATATGTTTTGCACTTAATAAAAGTTGTTCAGAATATAAAAATACACATATTTTAAAAATTCATATAATTTAGATAACTTTTTATTAATACATTTTTGCATTTTAAGTTTAAACTTTATATACAAAAATATGCTAATAAAAGTTATCCAGATTGTATGAAATTATTAGAATATGTGTATTTTTTTATTCTGAACAACTTTTATTAAGTGCAAAATATATATTTACTTAATACAATTTTGACTATTATATATATAAACTACTTTTACTTAATGAAAAATAACTAAAAATTAATTTGTTTTCAAAATAAGCTACTTCAGGAATTTTTGTGCAATTTTTGGCTGCTTAGTTTTGGAAAATATAGTATAAAGAGGTATAACTATACTAAATTGTAGAAAGATTCAATTTTGTTATAAATTTTGTTAAGAGAAAGTTTTGTTAAGTCTGTACTATCAAGAAATATACCAAGATATTAAATTTCTTTTTGAGGTTTTTTGGATATAATATTTTAATTATTGTATGTAGACAGAGAGTTAGAGAAGTTGTTTAAGGAAGATTTTAATATATTAAAGATTAGATTTGCTTATATTAATTTTAATATTATTGTGTTAATAAAGATTATATATATTATTTAGAATATTTTAAAGAGTTTTTTGTTTTTCACAGTTCTATATAGTATTGTTTATATAAGCTAAAGGAAGTATAGGAAGTATAGATATTGGAGTATTGTAGTATTAGACATAATATTTATAGAGGCATTATAAAAGATCTTAAAAAGATAATTAGAATATTTTTGGTGAATAAATATAAGAATAGAGTTATAGTATATTTTTTATAGAAAGAGTGAATATATTTCTTCTTGTTCAATATATGATTTAATATTAATAGAATAAGTCATATATAGTTATTATTGTTGCTTGATAGTTGGAATATAATTCAATTATAAATTGAGTTTCTAAATTGGAGATTCTAATCATTTTGTATGTATCTTGGAGATGGGTAATATTAATCTTATTAAAAACTTTAAACATGTCTTGAAAAAGAATTTAGTATTTTTGGTTATTTTGTTTATAGTATTCAATAGCATTAAGAAGTATTTGTATAAAGATATATATTGAAGAGTTTTTGGTAGCTGCATAGTTAAGATTAGAGAAAAGTTAATATTTAGTAATATTGTTGTATAAAAATCTTCATTAAACAATTTTAAAAAATTTTATAATAGAAATTGAGCAAACTTAATTAAGTGTATAATCCCAAAAAGATTTTTTTAAAATTAGAAAGATATTAGGAAAATATTATTTATCATCTGATTTTTTCAGAAATGGAGTAAGTGTCAAAATATCATGCTAATAAATTATATGTATATAGAGTTGTTGGTTTACTATAATTTTTAATTTTTTTTGATAAATTTACTAGATTATTTGGTAAATTGCTCAGTAAATTTACTCTTAGTTATTCTTAAGAAGTGTTTATGCAACATAAAATTTGTGATTAAAAAAATTTTTTGACCAATCAAATTATATAGACAAACTTAACTTTAAATATATAATAGTAAATTTATCACACCTTTGATAAATTACCTAGTAAATTACCATAATTATTAGTGGTAAATTTACCATGTATATAAGCTTATATATGATCATAATCATTTGAAGGAAAGAAAAATTTTACTATTTGCAAAAAATTAGCTGATAAATAATACTTCTCTTAGAATATTTTTAGTTAGTAAAAATGATTTAGAGTTGAAAGTATTTATTGAAAAATTGTTTGATTATAGAGAGACCTTTGAATCTAGCATATTTAATATATTTATAGTTAGTTTTTAATAGTTTAGAAGCTTTTTGAAAAGAAATATTGTAAATAAGATAATTCTATTCATTATTAGAGATTTCTTGAAAAAGATTATAGAAATGATATTCATGTTCTAAGTGTGGCAATTAAAAGTTATAATATTCTGAAAAAGGAGAAATAGAAACAAAAAACTTGTAATTAAAATATTTTTAGAATATTTTTAGTTAGTAAAAATGATTTAAAATTGAAAGTATTTATTAAAGAATTGTTTAATTATAAAGAGACCTTTGAATCTAGCATATTTAATATATTTATAATTAGTTTTTAATAGTTTAGAAGCTTTTTGAAAAGAAATATTGTAAATAAGATAATTTTATTCATTATTAGAGATTTTTTGAAAAAGATTATAAAAAAAATATTCATATTCTAAGTGTGGCAATTAAAAGTTATAATATTCTGAAGAAGGAGAAATAGAAACAAAAAACTTGCAATTAAAATATTTTGAGAAATGAAAATATATTGCATTTTTAATTTCTTAGTAGTTTGTAAGAAATATATTATTATTAAAGAGTCTGTTAATTCTAATATTATTGTATTTTTCAAATATTCTGTGAAAAAAAAGGTTAGCTTTTTTTTATTTTAATTCTACAAAAATATAGAATTAAAATAAAAAAATTTTTTAAATTTGATCAAGTAGTTATTAAGAACCTTTATTAGAAATTTAAAAATAAATTATAATAACCAATTACAATTAAGGATTTAAAAGTTTTAGATTGCAAATTAGTAAATATTTATTAGTGCTGCTAAGATAGTTTATTAATATATCTACCAAACTAGTTTGAAAGTTGATATCTAGCCAATTAGTATTAGGTATATAAATAGGAAATTAATATTTTCACACTCTATGTAGATTACTTTTTTAAAACTTTAATCGAAGGTATTTTGACACACATCTAACCAAATTTGATTATTTTTTTTTATTTTAATTATAGAAAGCCATGAAATACAAAAAAAAAAACTTGATCAACTTTGGTTAAATGGGTGCTGAGATATCTTTGATCAAAGCTTTTGTAAAATTCAAAACATCTATCAAATATAAGCTGCAGCAAAATTGTTAACAAACTTTGATTGAAGAAATCTCAGCACACAACTGACTAAATTCGATCAACATTTTTTATTTAAATTATAGAAAGCTGTAGAATTCAAAGAAAAAAAACTTGATTGAGTTTGGTCAGGTGGGTGCCAAGATATCTTTGATCAAAATTTTTGTAAAATTCAAAACATCTATTAAATATAAGCTATAGTAAAATTGTTTACAAACTTTGATTAAAGATATTTTGGCACCCACCTGACCAAATTCAATTAACATTTTTTATTTAAATTATAGAAACCATAGAAGTTAAAGAAAAAAGTTGATTGAGTTTGGTCAGGTGAGTGCTGAGATATATTTGATCAAAGTTTTTGTAAAATTCAAAACATTTATCAAATATAAGCTGCTGCAAAATTGTTTACAAACTTTGATCAAAGATATCTCATCACCCACCTGACCAAATTTGATCAACTTTTTTTTTTTGTATTTTATGGCTTTTTATAATTAAAATAAAAAAAGTGATCAAATTTGGTTAGGGGGTGTCAAGATATCTTCAATTAAAGCTTTAAAAAAAGTGATTTACATAGAGTGTATAAATATCAATTCTCTATAAATATTATTAGGGCTCTGCAACCCAGGCTCATACCTGTGCCTGATAAAAATCTTGGCACAGGCATGCTACAAAATATTTGGCATTAACTTGTCAGGCACCTTTTAAGCATGGGTATTAAATTGCTAGACACAAGTTTAGACACTTTGTGCCTATAGGTATATAAGGCATGGCATAAATTAATCTGGCATTTTTATATTTAAAACACAAAATGCTTGGTTTAAAAATGCCTGGCATTCTTAAAAGCATAGATATAAAATGCCTAATATATATATGCCATGGCACAGGCATGGTCACAAGTATGGCATGAGTATGGCACAAGTATGGCACAAGTATAGTACAGATATGGCACAAGTATAGCACAAGTATGGTACAGATATAGCACGAGTATGGCACAAGTATGGCACAAACATGGCACAGATATGGCACGAGTATGGTACAAATATAGCACATATCTGAAGCCATTTAAAATCTAAGAGTATTTTGATACTTCAATTAAAGGTACTGTAACCATTATAAGGAAGAGCTTTGTTTTGTCATGCCGAGTTTAACTCGATAGTTGACATTAGAAGGGTCATATGAATTGGGCAATTAATTAGATATTTGGATATTCATGATTTATTAGACATTTATGATAAAAAAGAGTGTGAATATATATGAGCTTTATTTATTGAGGAATTTTGGAAAGTAAATGTTCTTTTATCAAAGGGCGAGAACAAGCATTTATATATATATTAATTTTTAAGAACGTGATCATAAGATTTTTAGCATAGATACTATAATTTTAGTGTTGAAGATATTTTTTTTTTTTTTTTTTTTTTTTTTTTTATATTGCCAAACGTAGAAACTTTATTAGTCATGATTCATATCTTTTTACAGAGCAAATGATATACAGTTTCTAATTACATTTGTGCTACTATTAATAGTCACCCAATGTGGCATTATACTCCTTATTTTCCTATATTACTTTTCCATTAACTATTTCAAGCTAACTTCAAGCTAGGATCGGTTGGAGCAACCTACCATTACATGTCCCACTATGTAATTATTTTCCGTAATTTTCCTTCAATTAGTACATATTGACTGCTGCCATTGTGTTCGTATCTCACGCCACCTTTTGGGGTGCAGCCGTAACACAATTCGTATC